AAAACTAAATATATATATATATATATATATATATATATATATATATTTTGTATGTGCTCTCATTGGCTCTTTTTTTAAAGCTTTTGATATTTTTCTGAATCATACGTTCCAATGTTAGTGCATACAATTTTTAAAAATTACTTCTAAATAGATGTATCATTAAGATACAAAATGTGTATTAATTAAAATTAATGATATCATCATACAAAAAAGAAATTGATTTAATATTAGGTATCATCATTTTTATTAAAATGCAAATACTTCTCTCTCTCTCGTTGTTAGTTTAACCAAAATGATAAGGTTCAAAAGTCATCCCGCATTATCAATTCTCCCTTTTTGAATTTCCCACAATGTGCGCCTTATCTATCGTACATTCCTTCGTGTTTACGTAGGGACGGGGGTCTCACGCGGGCCTGAAGCGACGTGACTCATGTTCCGAGACGTAGAAATAACGTTTTACCTATCTGATCCTCCCGCTGGAACCGATGCAATCGATGCTTGGCCTTAAGCTCGAGCTCAGAGCCAAGAAGGCGTTGCTGCGTGAACTCGAGCAGCCTGGTGAGCAGGGGGTGGCTGGGGGGTGACTTCCAGTCACCTGGGTAAGCGTCCAGCCATACGTGCAAGGCTTGGACCAGGGTCTTGCGATGCTGCTCACAGCCGGCGCTCCCGTCCAGGGCATCGTATCGCGCGAGCAGCAACTCGAGGACATCATGAGGACTGGTGAACGCCCGATACGTCGCTAGGAAGATGTTTATGTAGGTGGACTCCAGCTCGCCGTCGTCGTTCGCCAAGCTCTCGACCAGCCGCTGCACCGTGCCGGCTTTCAAGAAGCGCACCCTCACCGTTTCCCATTCCAAGTGCGAGATCTCGTCGTCAGAATCCTGACGAACACATTGCAACACGGACACGGTTAATTGAACCGTTAGTTAAAGCTAAGCAACGAGGAGGACAAACTCACGTTTCTTCGCCAAATTTCTTTAGACATTCCTTTAAAAAGACGAGTGCGACACGAAAAATTACTCTAACTAAACTTCCAAATTTTTCATGAGGTTATCATCAAATTAAAATAATGTAGAAAACGTTATTATTTGCAATCACACCTTCGTTAATTCAACCATAAAAGAGAATTTGGCAAAACTTATATTATAAATGCTAAGTTTTGATTAAAAATATTTCAAGGATACTCACCGATGCTGAGAGACTTCTCGTGGGCCGGTGATATCGGACCTTCTTTAGATATACCGTATATATAACGCCGTCGCCCCTTTCCTCGCCCCATAAACGCCACGTGGGCTGCAAAGGACAAGATCGAGAGCCAAATTTAGTCATAAATGTTCGTACCAATGGATGGATGTAGGTAGCATAATGGAGCCAATAACGAAGAACCGCGCACCGGGGGATGATTTAAGCTCTTAATTTGACGGCAAAGTACCTTGCCATCCCCTGTGACGAACTAAGCCGTAAAAAATAAGCGAGACATTTCAGAGGTGAAAAAAAAAGATGATTCGTTCTTTCTTTATAGTTTATAGACAATATAATTTATTTATTTATTGTAATGAGCAAAATTAATTTGTTTTCAATTACTTTATAAAAATGTTAATATTATTAGTTTGTTTTGCAGGAAGTACAATTTTGCACGATGTGATAATTGCTTTGCTGCATTCATTAACGTATAATTTTATATAATACATTAATTACTGAAATTAATTGCTATATCGTATAATTATCTTCATGTATCATTTATTTCGTACCGATCGTAAAATCATCCCCCACGTTTCTACTCTAAATATGAAAATTCGATAAATGACGTGCATCATCGTTTCCAAACATTCGCTCGAAAGCCTTTTAAATTACCAAAATACATATAACTAAGATGTAATTACAGCTAAACAAATTACACGTGCTAATGACACACAGGATGCATCAAACAATGAAAATTTCGAAATACGAAAACATTCATTTCGTCAGAATCTGTTGTCAAAATTTCATCAGAGGCATAATTACAGAGTTTCTCTGCCTTCTGAGAAGTGTCACGAAACACTATGAATTAAATGGCTACAAAATGGCAGAAAACGATATAAGCGATTTACAATCAGCGATTGAAACGTCCGACTGAAATAAGTTAATCGTCAAAAAAACTCAAGAGGAACTCTATGTCTACCCGCCCCTAATCTCCTTGACTTTTAATTTAATGAATAAATCATGAAATCTCAACTGAGTCACGTCCATGCATAATGAAAAACACATATTTACGCGTGTGTACACAACGCATACATGCAAGTGTTTTACTTATCAATGACAGCCATGCAGTCACAGGCAGTCCGTATAATTAATTCCAATTTGATAAAGACGGGCTCGCTCACGCAATGATGTAACGCTGCAATGCGATAACGCTCGCGTTAAAGGTAGTTAGCCTTTGGAGATGTTGATTTTTGGCTTATCATCACCGAAAGAAACTGCAATTAGCGATCTTCTTTGCGAAAGACTTCACAAAGCGGTAACGCATAACGATCGGTCATGCTACGTATGGCCTAACGTTTAATTGAGACGTCCATGAAAATTTAAAAATATTGAATTTACCTCTTTGTTAGAAAATTGATTTTTAATTCATCCGATCGTAATAAAGTTCAAAGAAAGATCCAAACAAATTTAATTAAATTTATATATATATAGCTGTCTGTCGATCGTTTATATCTCCTTCTCCCACAATTGTGGTCGATCGCGGAACGTGACAGAAACGTCGCGTCACGTCACGTCCATTTATTTGGCATTGAGATCTTGTAAACAAAGCGGATCTTAGAGGGGCGTAAGGGGGGCTTAATGTCACGGAATCCGGCACGATAGATCTCGTGTTGGCACAAGCGATCACAAACCGATCGAAACCGTGGACTGAAGATATGGTGCCGGTTGGTGCGATTGGAGGTACTCGACGGGCAGGTAGAACCGTGTCATTGTCGCTTCCGATACTTTTTTTTCTCACTTCCAAGAAAAGAGATCGTCTCGGGAAAACGGCAGAAGCTGGAAACTGAGACACGCTAGTTTTTCTTCCTTCGCACTACCGAGACAACGTCGTCCTCTCGTAAGATATTAAATAGAAAATTATTTGTAAAAATGTTTATACAGATTTAATGATAAAATCATATAAGATTTCAAAGTGTAAAAACAAATTAATATGTTGGGACGAAATTGAAAGAAATTACGACATCACGACATCCGTTCTTATCTCAAACCTAAAATATTCTTTTTTCTATAACAATCGTCGACTAAAAGTAAGTTATCAAAACTAAATTAATTGTTATAAAAACTAAAATATTCTTTTTTTACAACAGTCATAATATTATTAATTTGAATGTAATATCGAATCGTCAATAATAATCGTCGATGCCAAACTAAAATTAAATTCTAATTATTGTTAATTAATTTCAATTTCGATTCGGTTCATGCGTCGTAATGAAAATCTCCCATGTTAATAATTATAATGCAAATAGATGAAGTAATTTTTAAACAAATTTTGGAATTCAGTGTAGTAGAATCTTATCTCCGATAAGAATTTCTCATTCAAAAAAAATTAATTAACGTAATTAGATAAGTTAATTGTAATAATTTACAGAATTATCCGACCGGAATTAACTTTAAAAATTCAAAACAGGGGAAAAATTATCAATTTCCAGTTGGATATAAGCGAAGCCCAAGAGGCAAGAGAATCTCAAGTCCTCTAGTCCACCCCGCTCACGCCCCCGGAACGACCGAGCAATTAGACGTCCGCGTCGGAGGAACCCGTGCGTGACTCGAGGTCCTCGTACTTATGCTCGTCCTTGGTAACCGCTTCCCTCCGAGTGTCGATTCACTATTGTTCCGCTGTAAACAGCACGAGCCTGAATGCCCGTTCCTTACGCAAAACGACGCGCGGAATATCTCTCGCGATCGAGGTTGAATCGCAATTAGGGGGCATTTCCGGCAATAAGCCGCCTCGTAGAATTTCATATCCGTTGATCACGTCACGCAGGATAATAGCGCTTTCATCTTACCACACGCACAACCTCCCCCGCCCCCCTCGTTCACTTCGCTTAATTATATAAATTAATACGAAATAAAATGTAATACGTTCAAAGAAGTTCTTATTATTTTCCATACAAAAAATTTAAATATCTGTGCATGCAAATGTTTTAAGATTATGAGAAATTTAACTTTAAAAATCTCTGGGGAGGTCTCAGCGAACTAAATATAATATTCATCTAGTTTCCACTTTGAAGTTTTTACTCGACGCGGGATAATTTCCAAAGCAAATTAGCGTGTGTTTTTAAGTAGAATAAGTCGCCGGACTCATAAATAAGTAAGAATTTTTTCGATCGAACGGCCAGGGAGCAATGACTTCTCGCGTGATTTCCGAAATTTTTATACCATGCTACTAGCCATGGTAAATGGCCTCTAAATATACCGGATGGCGTAGCCGTAGAGGCAGGAATCGTACAGGAATCGATCGCCGGGAGCGGATGCAAGATTCATGAGATCATGTCGATGTCGTCGGTCGTCGTCGCGACTATAAGTAAATTGAAGGTAGCGATATGGTAAAAACATTGTCCGCCGTCCGCCGTCTGCGCGTGCGTTTCTGAAGAACATCGAACTACCACCGCTCGGAAACGTATATCTACCCGTTCGCGAATAGAGCAACGAGGCAGGTCGACGGCGTCGCGGAATCCCGTAAATGTCCCGCCGGGGTCAACGGTCCGTCCGCGGGGTCCCGAAATACATCCCCCATTATTTCCCGTTGGATTCCCGCGGAACGCAGATTCGCGCCGTGAAATCGTGACGCGGAACGCAGATGCGCCCGCGTCTTTGCTGCGCCGCCGCATCGATCTCACTGCCACTTCTCTGTCTCTAAAATTATTAAGAATTTCGCGCAAGAGAAAGAATTAATAATAATAATAATGATTCATCATTTCCCCGAAATGACGAAAATTCAGAATCGTTTTTTTCTTTAAATATTCTCAAAATAATATTTTTGGTAATGATGATAATAATAATCGAAATTGTATAGAAATTGTAACGATGATGATAATGATAGAAAAATTCAAAATGAATCAGAATTTATTATTTCGGGTCTAAATAAAAGCTGGCAGAACCGCTGTCCTTTCCTGAATTGATAAAAGGAGTTACTTTCGCGAGGGACAATTTTCTCAGCTCGATGTATACGATTAAATTATTTTCGCTGATCGAGCTGCCAGGCGATCGCTTTTTTTCCACAAGACGGTACAGTTCTGATGACATTCTGACCCTGATTACTCGATTAACCAGCCGACGTGTGTGCGACATACGCACGAGAATTAGCGCGAGTATGCGGCTTAATCCGGGAATCAGTGTCACTACACTACACACGTAGTTGCTTCCAAGGTTTGGAGGACATGAGAATTAATATAATTTTGGGACAACGTGTCCCAATTGTACGAACGCAAAATTCTGTTCGGCATGCACCTAATCTAAGCCCAGAGACGATACGAAAAATATACAAAAAAAAAATAAATAAATAAACATACTCGCTTTCTTTCGTGCGATCTCAAGACCAAATTAAATATTCATTCATCGCAAAAAATGATACTTCAATAGATCCCATGCAAATATATAAGGTGTATCGTAAAGTCAGTTTAAATTCTTGAATCGATTTCTAATCGAAGAAATAATTAACTGGACGCTGACCTCGCAATCTTCGATTCGAAACCTCGGAAAAAAAACAGGGGTATCCAGTTAAGAATTTATTAATGGAGGAATTTTGATATAAAAAAAAAAAAGAGAGAGAAAAAACTATAAATAGAAACTATGTGAATGGAATCGATTAATGAATCTTACTCATCGTATACGTTACACCGAGAACATTATTTACATTATTATAGTTACGTTGAGAATTAATTTTTCACGTGAAAGAATTTTGCGGTTGAGCTCGCTCAACTCATGTATTTGCTACGAATATATTATCGTATTTATCGGTAATACGCTACGATACACCTCGTGCGAAATGTACAACATATGATCACACGAAACATGCAAACAACACAATGACACAAAAGCGTCGGCGAGTCAGATAGAAATAAATCAAATAGGAATAAAAATCAGGTCGACTCGGTCAGGCCGAATCGATCTTATCACGCTCGTGATACGTTATCGTTATCCCGTAATTTCACATACTAATACTAATGTCTACGAGACCACTCTCTTCAGGCAAATGCGCGAACACGCACACGGGTCGTCGAAAACGAAAGCGAAGCAGAAACGAAGACCCAAACATGTCAGAGGATGCCGTCCGTCATCCGGTGTCTCTTTACCTGTTGCACGTACCACTGGGTGGAGCTCTGGCTCTTCCGGTGGCCGCCGGGCTTGCAGGGGGCGCAGAGCAACAGGGGGGTCAGTTTGTTTACCCCCTTAGCGGGGGGGACGGCGCCGGTCGCCGCCGGCGTGGACGACGCTGTGGGGCTCAGCCCGTCATCCCCCCCCAACACTGGCCACAGCATCCACGTGTGTTTTGCCCGCTGCCTCCCCCCGACTATTTTCCTCGCGTCACCCCTCGGTGCTCCCGGCTAGGTAATTACTCCCGTTTGCGGATCCGCGCTCCTCCGCCTCCTCACGCGTTTCCTCCTCCGCGTTTTCTTCTTTTTCGTCCCTCCTTGGCTCACCCCTTGGCGATCCTTCCTCTCGAAGGCGATCGTACCTCTCTCTCGAAACGGCACGAACTGTCGTGACGCCCGTTGCCGGCGAACTGAGATCGTCGCGGCCGACGCGGCGACGTCGCGTCACCACGCCTCGATGTCGATGACGTCGTCGTTGACGTTCACGCGCGATCGCTCGCTCGAGATGCAGGAGCGTATCATGGTGCCGGGCAGAAGCGAGTTTCCGACGTTTGACAGCTGCGGCTGAAGTTTGAGATTTCGATCGGTTGAAGAGGAAATAGGCACGTTCGCCGTGCTGAGACGCTCGCGCGGAGTCACTTCGTCGTTTACTTCGCGAATACACGAGTTGGAATAATAAAAAGGATAGAGTATTTTGCGGAATGTAATTTTGTAATCGTTCGTTATTATTCGCGTTAAAAAGAATATTAGAATTTAGATTCGTTTCCGAATGTTTCCAATTCGATAAAATGTTATATTTATATTTTCTCTAAATATAAATATCCATATTGTAAATAATTCTTATCGCGTGAGTTTGCAAGTTTTCAGAAATAAATCTAAATTTATACAGGTTACTTCTTATTTTTCATAATTGATGTAAATTTATTCTTGGAAATTGATGATACTTTGAAATGTACGTATGTCGCCCGGAGAAAGAGACGTAATGAGATTTTAAAATAAGACGTTGTTTTAGTACTACCAATAATACTTCGAGAATATAAATTTGAGAATATATTAAATATAAATTTTATAATTTTAATTGGAATGTTTCTAAGGTCATTATTCCTAATTAATTCACACATCGGTGCGTTGAGAAATAAACGTACGATTTTGCGCGATTACGCGCTTATGAAGGGTCGATCGTTCTTACACCTGACTTGGACAACAGGATCAACAAAGGAGGACAATCCATAGGGATACGGTCTCTACTTCGGGGAACTGACGAACGAGACGCCTCCGTTCGCTGCGCCTCGGTAGCTCGACAATTAATTAGCGCTAAAAGGTCGTAGGTGACGTGCGTGTTTGCACTTCCGGCATGCGTATCGTTTACACGTGGGCTACGCAACCCCTTCGTACGAGAACGTGTATTTCAAATAGGCTTCGTTATCCTTTTCCCCTTTCGAAGCTAAAGGGCAACGTATAAAATGCGCGAGCGCAAAGTGCCACGAGAGCTAAAGGGCGCGGCGCATTTCTTTAACGCTATTTTAACCGAAACAAAGATTTTTACGGAAACTCTCTTGCAACGCGAGGCGTCTGATATTTATAATTTTACGTCGCTCCATTTAGTAGTGATTGCAATAATGTGGAATAATAATGGGGAATTTAATTAACAGAAACTGCAGAATATTTCAATTGTTATATTAAATTATTCTACCATTAAACAATAGAGATAATTATTTAATTGTGATAATAAGTTATTTGCGTGCGTCCGAATTATTTCTCTCGCGAGATCTCACCCCGATATCAAAAGATTAAACGCATTTGAGACCTCATCGTGTGAAAATATGATACGCACACGTCTTGTCGATGGTCAATTTGTTACGTCGCCGTTGCGTTTTGTTCCACTAATGGGCGATAATTCTTCATTCCGCGAATTGACCGCTGCGACCGTGCGCGAACGATATCTCTCGCGGTACAGCTTAATATCGCAGAATGAACGCGGGATTAAAATACTTTTTTATTCTTAGGGTGCGTTGTTTAAAATAATAATCTCTCTTCAGCTTGGAAAGGTGAACGCGCGTTATCACGCATTGAAGAGTGTACAATCATTTCGGAAATATGCTCAGCCTATCTTTAGAAGGTATATCCAGACGTCTTGGCTCTCAAAATATCTCCAATGTATTTCTGTTCTCGGGAAGGGAAAAAAAGATCCCAGGATATTCCGCATATCTTTTCTCATCTTGCAAAAAAAAATTGAGCTTTCCTTCAAAATTTTTTATCCCATCGTCAATTTTTTATCCTTCGCGATAATTGCCATTTTCATGAAATATCTCGTCGTCTTGCGGAGCTCCTGATTTTCGACCGCGATTTCGGCCGCGATAGGATAAGAGAAAATTGAAAGAGAAGACGCACGACCGACTCTGGGACGATTGGGACGAGCTCGATCATCGAAATTCGATTGTCGCGCGTGATTGGATTTCGCCGGGTGGACGAACGAAACGGACGTCACGGTACGATGGCCCTACGACGCAACGCGACGTTAAGTAGAATATAAGCGGAATGATAAAAGTGTCGATGCCCGTCGACGCCTCGCTCCGACGGACGATAAAACGAACGCCCCGTCGTGTCGCGACATGACACGAGAGACGAACGGGCGTATGTCACAGCCTTAATCCTTCCGGAAACGCGATCCACGCGCGCGCGAGTTGGGGCGGTTGCCCCCAATTTTATCTTGCCTTTAATTTTTCAATTAAGAACAACCATCAAATGGAAATTCTTCTAAATTTTATCTATTTCCGTCGTTCGTTATCTTTTGGATGTCGCGTAATATTATTCTTTCCTAAATCGAGTATTCTTATTGTGTCTACTTCCGAATTAAATTTAGCCATCTATAAGTTCTTTCGTATATTTTTCTAGAATTTATTTATAAAAAGTCAGTGTCTAAAAATTTGTCTAATATATCTCATTGCAACTGATCGAAACATCAGATCGAGATAATGAAGCAAATCATTATGAAAAAGTTTCGTAATTTTTTTTCTGTACGATTTTTTTTTCTGTACAAAGGCTTTAATTTGACATAACAAATAAAATTTTTCGTTTTATATCTTCCCAGCGGGATAAGTTTTTAATGAATAATTGGACAAAATATTGGTTCAAAAAAAAATTCTCGATATCCGAAATTTTTCAGATATATTGTTTTTCTCGTCGAATTATCGAGGATTCTGCAGTAGCATATATCTACTGAGATATCAGAATTTATCTATCTAGTACAACTTTTAAGTATTCGGATCTAGATATTTGAATATCCGAAATTGATTTCGATTCGAGAATTCGAAATTGCATACTATTTGGATTATTAGCTAATTCAAGTATTCAAATTATTTATATTTGGAATTGTGATTGGAATTATTTGGATTCGAATCTGAATTTGATCCATATCCGAAAATGGAGGAATCGCCGATATATTCAATAATTTCTAAATTTTTTCGATAACACTAATTTACAGTAAAAAATTATTTTGAACTAGACAAAGTATTTCTTATAGATAGTGAAAATGTACAAAAACCAAATTTTCCCAATGTGTTAAATTTTTTATTTTGATATTACTTAATCATAAAGAACTTTAATATAGAGTTTTGTTAACATAATACAGACTTTTGTTATTTTAACAAAACTTTTAACCTCTTAACAAAATTTGGCAAAATTTTTTTTAAATTCTTCATAATATGATTACGAAGAAAAATACAAAAATAAAAAATGCATAGGGGATGCATGAT